ACTTCATGTGACACGAATTTCAAATTTATTTTCACATATAGAAAAGCAGCCTCAGGGAAATGTCACACGACTATTATCCGTAATATTAAAAAAAATATCCGATAAACCGAATTTATTATTATATGAAAAATCCGTTAAATCTGTTAAATCTGTTAAACCGAGATAAAATAATTGTAGAAAAATTTGGGTTTGAAAATTTATCCGCTATACTGAGACTCACTATCGGTACTTGTTAATTTTTGTCTGACATTTTTTTTATTTTGCAAAGTGAAGAATTTATCATAATAATTTATATTGAATTTAATTTCGACTATGAAGATAAGGAAGGTATTTATGTAGGCGAAAATTATAAAGAAAAATTTGCTGAAGGAGAAATGGTTATGGAAAAGCTTCCATATGGTAATTTTGAAGTTGTAATAAATCTACCAGCAGAATAAACAGAAATGAAGGCGGCATTGGAGATGAAATCCAAGATGGATTTAGTGAGATAATTTTAAGTCGGAAAATAAATCAAAACAAAAACAACAAGATTTAACAACGAACCAATCAGTTGATAAGTTTATATGCTAAGATTATTTTATTTTTTCTATTTTCTAAGTTTATTTATTACAAAAAATGAGATATACTGAAAATAAAAAAAAGTTTTGTTAATTAAATACATTGAAATGAATGAATAAGTGAAACTATATGTATAATTACATTTGAATACAAATGAATGAATATAAATGAGTGTATAAGTGAATGAGTGAATGAGTGAATGAGTGAATGAATTGATTATTGAATGATATTGAATATAAATGAATGAATGAATTTATAATCTATAATCAATAAATTGAATGAATCTAATGATGTAATGATGCAAAGATGCAAATGTAATGATGCAAAGATGCAAATGTAATGATGCAAAGATGCAAATATAATGATGCAAATATGCAAATATAATGATGCAGAGATGCAAAGATGATGATGTTTTTGTTGTATACATTGAAAAAGTATGACACCGCTCAGCGGACTTTAAAAAATTATATAACAAAATCAATGATACATTTTTTTAAAATCCCAAAGTAGGACTTGGTAATGAAATATTGAATTCAATACCGTGAAATTTACTTTGAAGTGGACTTGAAGGAGCTGAACGAATTTCTGGATTATCATCATCGTTATCGCTTGATCTATTTATAAACCAACTGTATTCATGATTATGATTTGATGATGATGAATTTAAATTTTCAGTCGAACGAAAACGACGATCCGCTAATGATAAATTATTAGACTGATCGGTTGTTGCTAATGATGCTAATGATGATGTTGAGTCTGAGGAAGAGGAAGAGGTGAGTGAATATGTTTTTGGAGATGTTGAAGCTGATATACTTGGTGTTGATGATTTAGATTTGGATTTAGATTTACTATCAGACCTTAACAATAACTTGCCTAAAGATTGTGCCAACGAATTTTGGCTTTTCTTTTGTCGAAGTTTATGATATCTCTCATCATTTGGAATTAATTGTGATGATGATGAGGAAGGAGATGGTGGTGATGATGATGGCGTTGATGATGTTGTTGATGATGGTGGTGACAATGCTGGTGGATATGGAGAAGAATTAAAATCATCATTTGTTGGTGTTACAGGTCTTGTATTGTTATTGGAAGAAAGTTCATCGTCATTATCATCAGTTAATATTTGATTATTATTATTATTGTTATTAACGATTCCAATAACATCATCGTATGAAGGTAAACCACCATCGAAATCACTTTTTTCAGGTACAGTGGTAACAGTAATAGGAAAAGTCAATTCTAATCTTTTTTCATTTTGATCTTGGAATTTCAATGTGATTTTTAATTTATGCCTAACACGTATCAATGGACTTTTTATTGAAGCCTTTAATTTTGTTTTTTTGCTTGAGTCATAATCAGAAATAGCATGACTAGTGAATGGCAAGTTGCAAGTTAAAGGAGAATTCCAACAATCATCATCGTGGTGGATATTCAATGTGGTTGGTTTTATCGGATGAGATCTCACACGCTTTAAAGATGACGAGCCGCTTAATTGAACATTACCAACAAGTTGAGCGCCATCAATAGCAAAATCTTGAAGATCTTGGTTAGTTGGATGAATTCTATAATATAAATGATGATGTTTTATGATTAATTTATGATTATAATTATAGTAGTAGCAATAATAATGATGATGATGATGATGATGATAAAACATACCTATATTTTTCAGATTGTATCATATCAAAAGAAACTTTTTCAATCTTTCCTTGATCTGTTAAAGGCAATAATCTAAGTCTAACCAGTATTGATTTGTCATCAATGCACGTGATAGTAGGCACATCCAACTCATATTTTAGAATATCTTTCCGTTGACCTTTATAGACTTTTGTGGGAGGAGCAGGCAACAGATCTCTTTTGCAGGGTAAATAATGTCGGTGAAAAGTGATTGGTTTTTCGACTCTTCCATATTTTGTTAAGAGCGAAGCTGGTTGAACTGTTGCAACCAATTTATATTTTATTAGACCAAAAGGGGTGACATATGTTTGAGGAATGTTGGCAGGTAATTCAAATTCGTAATCCAAATCGGTTACACCAAGTGGTAAAGTAAACTTTTCGCGAATTATGTTTTCGTATTTTGCAACGTTTATGCAAGAGTATTGGTTCTCCCAGTCGGAAAATTCCGATTTTCCCTTCAATTGTATTGCGACGAATTTTGTTTTAAGTGGTTTTGAAAGGACGATGCGTAATTTACCAGATAATTTGACTTTTGCGTCTTTATCAGGAGCACCATACATTATCACTTTGCCATCATTACAAGGTAATATATCTATAGCTATTATACTATTATTCATTTTTTCTATCAGTCTATTTCTATATATGTGTGTGTGTGTGTGTGTGTGTGTGTGTGTGTGTGTATGTGATGTATAATGAATGATAAAATAATTGTTCTATTTAATAAAAATAATCAATATTTTTCTTTATGATTAATAAGGAATAAGAGGGGGGGAGGGAATAATGATTTTTAAATAATGATGCAAATGAAAAAAATTATAAAATAATGAAAATTCGGATTGGGTTATTTTGCGTTATATTTATATAAATTATCTGTATTTAATATAGCCTAATATAAAAATAGGGTTCAAAGACATTAATTTCTTAAATTTCTCAAAATAACATAACAACATATCGCAAAAACAACAAAAACAACATTGACAACGTAATAAAGTAATAACATAATGCACACAAAGATACCATAATAGAACAACAACATTTTTTTCATTATATTAATTTTATTTAGCATCAGCATAAAATAAAATTGAAAGTTTTTTCCTATGTTCTAAATTTGGAAATAAAATTTCTATTTAAAGAAATTTTCAATTTTAATTATATTATTGTACCATAGCTAATTTTTATTAACAGGAAATGGTGACAAAGAAAAAACAAGGAATTTTCCATAACTAAAAATTTTAAGTCTATGTGGTCTATATGATGTAATATAAAAGTCCATTATGCACACTTTATTTATTATTTATCACCAAACCTTAATTGGTAAAGAGAAAATTCAACAATAATCGATTGATTGGTGGGTGTAGAAATCGTTGAATAAAACTATATTTTATTGGTTAAAAATATGATTGGACAAAAAAGTAACATGATTTACATAATATTTGTAACCTTATTGGTGTGTGTATAATAACTAGTTACAAATAATAATAAATTATATAGACTTTATAAATAATTAACGTTAAGCAGATGAATCAACTTTGGCAATATGTGAAATTAGATCAACAACACGAGTTGAGTAACCGTCTAAAAAATAATAATTATATTAATTAATTAATCAATAGGTTTTTTAATTGGTGAATGAAAACAAGGAAAGAAATAATTCATAACTTACATTCATTATCATACCAAGAAACAAGTTTAACAAAAGTTGGGCTTAATTGAATTCCTGATGGTAAAAATTAATCGGCATTAAATGCTTGCAAAATATATCTGGTCATTATTATTAAATGACGTTACAATTATTACTTACCAGCTTTAGCATCAAAAATACTAGAGTTTGTATCGCCAATGAAATCAGTGGAAACGACCTAAAATAAATCAAGCAAATTATTAAATTTCTATCCGCCAAAAAACAACAACAAAAAAAAATTTTTTAATAATTTTAGTCCGACTTACATCATCTTCAGTGTATTCAAGAATTCCTTTTAATTCGTTTTCAGATGCCTGTTTAATTTTCTGCTTGATTTCTTCATAATTGGTTTCTTTTTTCAACCTAACGGTTAAATCAACTACCGAAACGTCTGCTGTTGGAACTCTAAAGGCCATTCCAGTGAGCTTTCCATTTAATGATGGAATTACCTATAATTAATTATATACATATACATTTATTTAATTGCTTATAGTACCATTTATGTAAAGTTCATTTAATAATATTTAATTAATTACTTTTCCAACTGCCTTGGCTGCTCCTGTTGAACTTGGAATGATATTTTGAGATGCGCCTCTTCCACCTCTCCAATCCTATAAAATAAATAAATAAATAAATAAATAAAATTATTCGTTTAAAATCTACATGACAAATCATTATTCTTATTATTAATAATTACTTTTCCAGAAGGTGCATCAACAGTTTTTTGAGTTGCGGTGGTTGCGTGAACTGTCGTCATTAATCCTTCTTCAATACCGAAATTGTCATGAATAACTTTTGCTAATGGTGCCAAACAATTGGTTGTGCATGATGCATTGGAAATGACTTGATATTCAGGTTTATAAGCATCCAAGTTTACACCGCAAACAAACATTGGTGCATCTGCACTTGGTGCACTGATAATAACCTAGTACATACATATAATATATGTTTCATTATTAGAAATTCTCTAACAAATCATTAATTTAAATTTTATTAGATAAATCTAATCAACAATCAATTTACTTGCCTTCTTAGCACCCTAAAGTTGTTCATTCAATAAAAAGAAATATATAATTATTATCGTTTTTAATATTTTTTTTAATAATCAAAGGATAATTAAAATAATTCAACATACCCCTAATATAATCAAAGTAATAAAAAATTAGGTTTTTTTTTTTAAAAAAAAAATAAAAAATATTATAATTGTAATAAAAAATAATATACCTTTCAAATGAGCAGAAGCTTTGTCAATGGTGGTGAATATACCAGTCGATTCAACAACGTAATCAGCTTGGATTGATCCCCATGGAATTTGAGCTGGATCTTTTTCGGCAAACACTGAAATTTCTCTACCATCAACAATAAATTTTCCATCTTTGACTTCTACTTCCCCTTTATATCTTCCATGAGTAGAATCATATTTAAAAAGATAAGCCTATTGATCATAGTATAATTAGTGTCGTTGCAACGTTTCTCTATTTTCATATATATATATATATATATCCATACCATATATTTCAA